ATATTTATATGGAATCATCTTCAGGTAGTGTAGATTCTAGTTTGTTCAAATGATGAACGCCTGCAGGAGGGAGTAAATTCAAGCCCGATGTGCTCAGGTGAGCGCTGTGGCCCCTGGGCCTCTTGTTTATGTAGGTCTATTTCAAAGTATCAGATCAAAATTGATTAAATATTTTCATTTTTGGAATGTACACTTCTTGTTGGTTAATTGTGTGACTTTGCCTTACTTAAAGACAAAATTCGTTGAGGTGAGCTCTGTAATCTCTGATTACCTAGGTTTGTTTTTAAATGAATGTCTAAAAACACATATTTTAAAAGAAATTATTGAATTCTATCTTACTTTTACAAATATGTTATTTATAGCATTTGTATACAGAGTATAAGAATTGCAAAAATTGATTAAAGAAAAAAAGAGAAGCTGAATACATTGAAAGCAATTAACTTTGTTGTAAGGGAGATAACTCTCCAAATATATTTCTTTGAAGGTGAACATTTTACTGGCTTGACTGATCAACAAGACAAAGCGACCAAACCCAGTAAACCAGCACCTCCACCCAGTAAAATCGTGGAGCTCAACTCAGACTCAGAGGTCAACAGGGCAAAGACCACACCCTCCCACATCATCAACCCTAACAGGTCAGAGACTGTGTACACAAGGTCACCAACAGAGGGCGTTGACATGTCAGTCAGGAGCTCCACCAATCCTAACCAGGCTACTGCAGAGGATGAGAGGAGAATGCAGGAGATTCTAGCCAATCCAGAGATCCGTAACATTCTTATGGATCCACAAATAATGAATCTAATTGAAACTCTGAAGTTTAATCCTGATGAAGGAGCAAGGTATGACACCACTTTTTTTTTCTTTCTTGTTTTATCTCCCACTTGAAAAATTGGTTGGCTACATATACATATAATAATGATGAAGTTAACGTTGTTTGTTTGTTAAAGAACTTTATTCGGTAATAACCAATATTTGCCCCCCAAATCAAACTTAGATGGAGGTATATTTAATTAAGTTCTTAAACAGGGTAGTATATGCTGACTTCAAAGCACTGAATATTTTCATAAGAAATGACGTCATATGTACGTAATGACGTCATAAACATGACGTAAATTTCATTTTTAATGAATTCTACAGAAAAATGTACATATTTCGTCGATATTTTGAGTCAAAGTCACCGAGCGCATGTGTGTTCAGGATCAATATTTTGATATAATGTGTAGAATGATAATATCAATGAAATATGTAAATATAAATCCTGAACAAACATGCGCTCTATAAATTTAAAAGCTAAAACTGTTGAAATTTTGTCCATTTTGTCCTCTTTCTGAAAAAAAATTTAAAATTGGACTAGTTTGTGACGTCATAAAAACAAAAATTGTGAATAAACTGCTTTGAAACTATAATATGTTCTGTTAATTTATATTTCTCATACAATTTATTGAATTCAGCATATTTCATGAAGTTTTCAAAATGTAACTTTTGTGGGGGCAAGTATATGCAATATACCGCATATAGTTCTTTGGGGGTAGTCCTTATCCACAACTCTTCTTTTATAAAAATACATTTTGATGGACACATATACCTAATTATGTATCTAGAGTTTCTCATACCAAAACATAGATACTGGATCCTTCCTATTATGTCAGGGATACCCATTTCTTATCAGCAACTCCTCCTGTGCCACTGAATAGAATTAAAAGAATCTTTATTACATAGTGCCATTATGCGTACTCTATTTTACGGCTTGATCGAACAAAATTTTGGGTTTCCTAACATGGATTTTGCCATTATATACTCAATAAGGAGGGTACCCACTTTGGTAACACACTATTCCTAAAGCCCTTTAAAATGAATTTCAGTGGAACTTTCACAAAATGTCCTTTACATACTGCCATGATGAAATGTACTTGGCCATTATAATTCTATAGGAGCAGGAGTTTCACTTTTTGAGCTCAGTGCCTCTATTTTTTAGCTCACCTCAATGAAGTTGGGGGAGCTGATGTAATACCCTCGGCGTCAGCGTCCCAGGTTAAGGTTAAGTTTTTTGGAGCAGTTTTTAGCTCACCTGAGCTGAAGGCTCAAGGGAGTTTTTCTGATCACATTTTGTCCGGCGTCCGTCTGTCTGTAAACTTTTCACATTTTCGACTTCTTCTCAAGAACCGCTGGGCCAAAATCAACCAAACGTGCCACAAAGCGTCTTTGGGTAAAGGGGATTCAAGTTTGTATAAATAAAGGGCCACACCCTCATTCAAGGGGAGATAATTGGGAATTAATGAAAATTTGGTGGCATGTTTTAAAAATCTTCTTCTGAAGAACCACTGTGCCAGGAAAGTTGAAACTTTTAGGGTAACATCCTCAGGTAGTGTAGATTCAAGTTTATTCAAATCATGACTACTGGGGGTAGGGTGGGGCCAAAATGGCGGACCAAAGTTTTACATAGAAATATAGAGGAAAATTCTTTAAAAATCTTCTTCTCAAGAGAGACAATGCCATTATTCATCATATTTACATGGAAGCATCCTCAGGTAGTGTAGATTCAAATTTGTTCAATTCATGACCCCTGGGGGTAGGGCGGGGCCAAAATGGCCGACCAAAGTTTTACATAGATTCTGAAATATATGGGAAAATTCTTTAAAAATCTTGTCAAGAATAGCACAGTCATATTTCATCATATTTAAATATGGAAGCATCCTCAGGTAGTGTAGATTCAAGATTGTTCAAATCATAACCCAGGGGAGAGGGTGGGGCCAAAATGGCCGACCAAGGTTTTACATAGAAATATATAGTAAAATTCTTTTAAAATCTTCTTCTTAAGAATAGCAAAGTCATATTTCATATTTGTATGGAAGCATCCTCAAGTAGTGTAGATGTAAGTTTCTTCAAATCATGACCCCCGCGGGTAGGGTGGGGCCAAAATGGCCGACCAAAGTTTTACATAGAAATATATAGGAAAATTCTTTAAAAATCTTCTTAAGAATGACACTGCCATAATTCATCATATTCACAACCTTCTCCTTCGGATGTATTGACATTCAGGGGATTAGGCAAATTATATCAATATATCCGTAATTCATTATATGCGAAATCGTGATTTTTAAGCCGACATTTTTCAAAGTTCAATCCCGATTTAAATAAAGAAGAACAAACCCCCAAAAAATAATTCGGTCATCGTTTGTCTAAGACAGTGAATGGATTACATGGAATATTAGGTTTTTGTATCAAATTATTTCTTTCTGTTGCATTGAAAAGACAATCTTCAACATCATTTTAAAATTCCCCAATCGCCTTCTTTTGTGTTTTGGAGAAAAATAACCGGACTTCAACTGTTCAATTTACTGCGGAAAGTTGCCTGTATATTATCGTAAGTGAACTCGAGTTAATCCCAAAATTCTTAGCTTTTCGATTTTTGGCTTATCAATAGCCGTAACTAATTCCTATTTAGTCTCAAATTTCAGGGTTTTAGTTTTCTTTGGGGTTCCATTATTTTTTTTTAGCCTCAATGTGTCTGTATGCATAAAAACAAAGAAAAAAACAGTGAATGATTTTATTTTATTAAAGTAGTACATGTATGAAAAGACGCAAGGTGAAAACTTAAAGTGTATTTATTCACACCTTAATATATCAGTCGGTCAGTCAGGTATAATTACCGTCACCGCCCGTAAAGACAGCCGTCAGGGAGAACTTCAATATAACCGTTATAAAAAACTCATTACCACCTCTGGGGACCGATCAGTGGCTTCAGTATAAGCAATATTACAATATAGTCGATTTCAATATAACCGTTAATTCAAATGCAAAGAATATGAGAGACTAAAACTGGGGATTTATTTTCATTTCAAAATAAGCGATTTCAATATAAGTGGAGTAAGCTGTATATGGAAACATCCTCAGGTAGTGTTGATTCAAATTTGTTCAAATCATGACCCCTGGGGGTAAGGTGGGGCCAAAATGGCCGTTACTAATTTTTCATAGAAATATATGGGAAAATTCGTTTAAAATCTTCTCAAGAATAGCAAAGCCATAATTATGGAAGCATCCTCAGGTAGTGTAGATTCAAATTGTTCAAATCATGACCCCCGGGCGGGACCACAATGGCCGACAAGGTTTTGCATAGAAATATATAGGAAAATTCTTTAAATAATAGCAAATCCATGATTGGTCATGGGATTACTTTCGGATTTAAACTTTTTAATAATCAACCAATTTCTACTTTTTCTTAGCTACAATACTCAGGTGAGCGATGTGGCCCAAGGGCCTCTTGTCTTTTTAAATACTTCTATGTCCTACATTGATTAGACGTGCATGGAAAATGTTTCTAATGTGTTTCATTGTACCAGTCAAGTTTCAGATGCTGCAATTTCAGTAAAGGAATGACCAAGTTAATGTTTTTGGAGCAGGTTAACATTTTTGATGCAGTTTTGGGTATAAGTCTCATTTCCGAGTAACTATAAGCCCTATGTTGACCAAACTTACCTGGATGATACATCTAAGAATGCACACTATCAGGGTTGCTTCAGATGCTGACTCTGACCTACATTTTCCGGTTGAGTGAACAGGTTAAGGTTTTTGGTGCAGGTTTCATTTCAAAGATACTATGAGTCCTATAATGACCAAACTTGCATGGTTGATACATCATACGATGCATACTACCAGACTTGCTTTGGATGCTGAACATGTGAATCTGACCTACATTTTCCGGTTGAGTGAACAGGTTAAATAAAGTTTTTGGTGCAGGATTCATTTCCAAGTAACTTTGAGCTCTTTAATAACCAAACTTGCATGGATGATATATCTAAGAATGCATTCTACCAGGCTGGCTTTGGATGCTGAATCTGACCTACATTTTTTTGAATAGTGAAAAGGTTATTTTTTAATACAGTTTCATTTTCAAGTAATTTTGAGCTCTATGTTGAGCAAACTTGCATGGATGATAAACTTTAGGATGTACACTAATGTTCTTGCTTCAGATGCTGAATTTGACATACATTTTCCAGATGATGAACCTGGTAAAAGTTATTGGTGCAGGTCTATTACCAAAAAACTATAAGGTTTATATAAACCAAACTTGCACAAATAATGCATTGGGGGTAGTGAGGGGCCACCATGAAAGTTCAAATTTGTAGGAAAAAAGCCAAAGGTAGTCAAAGAAATATGTAAGCATCCTTAGTTAGAATAAGATTCATTTTTGTTGAAGTCATACACCTTTTCCCTTTTAGGGGTAGGTCGGGACCAGTTAATGCATTTAAGCTTTGTTAATGCTACTTTAAACGTGATTTTTGTCTTTCTCCTAGCCACATTGTTCAGGTGAGCTATATTGGTCCATAGACCTCTTGTAACATTCTGCAGGTGACTGTTCCGTGACTTATGAATGTTTTGCCAGTGGGCAATTGTATCTCATTTGTGTGTATTTCGGAGGCAGAGACAATAAAAAGTGGAAGAATTCGTTTTTTAGATTGATTGATCACTGGTGGCCAGATAGCTTGCATTGTTTAAATGCTACCAAAGATTTAAATGTCGATCACTACAACTATTACTAGGTTAGTTTCTATATGTTGCAAAAATCATATTTTAATATATAAAATGCTCAATATTTTCAAGACAGCTGTAGTGAGCAAGGAAAAGCCCTGATCCTTTACTATTTGACTTCTGTGTTTAGGAAATAACTCATGTATATTATATATAGTTTATTACATAGATTCATATAATATTTAATATTAATTTTATATGATATTACATTTTAGGGGAGCCTAGCGGACCAGGAGAAAGCTTTGTTGACGTCTTCTACGTTATATGTATGGTACCTATCGTACTACACCACAGAGAAACAGATGTTTGGGAAATGTGGCGACATCAAGCGAATCATCATGGGGCTGGATAAGGTGAAGAAAACGCCCTGTGGATTCTGTTTTGTGGAGTATCCTTCTGTGTTTTGATGTCTTATATGTTTATTTATAAATGACAAGTAAACTCATTTTGTAAAAGATTATCATAAAAAAAAATCAAAGCAATTATATTTCAGTCATCTTTTCAAACCAGTGCAGAGACCACATACTGTGGTTTCATTAATTTTCGTAGGCATCAATTTTCATGGATTCTGTAAAACAGACGTTTTAGAGGATACGTAATTTCATGGACAAAAGTATTGCCTATACAAAAGAATAACACATTTCTTAATTCAATGAACATTTAAATTAAGTTAAACAATGAAATCCTCAAAAATTTTTGCTCGACAAATATTAATGAAACCACTGTGACAGTATAACTCTCTCTGTGTTATGGTTTGTGATGACTGGGTTCAGTTTCTCAAAACGTAATAAGAATACACAGTTATTTTGATTTATGAAAAATATACCCCAAGATAAACTGAATATTTTAGCTGATATGATTAGATTACATGACATTCACAATTTACTTTTACATGTTTTATGTCTGAATTTTCCAAAAAAAAAAAAACAAAAACAAAACTAAAAAACTTAAAAAATTGCATTACATCTGTACCAGGGGCCTATTATAATTAAAGAATTTTAAGATCTTTTTTGAAAATTGGCAGAGAAAAAGTTATAAGATATAAGTTAATTGTGGTGATAAAAAGATATAAAAAACAGAACATTTTTTATCTCTATATTGAGGTTCTTTTTTCAAAGTCAAATGATCATGAAGTCAATTAAACATGTTAAAACAAATTAAATCATGTCACTAATTTATTTGTACAATGAATATGGACGTAGAAATAGTTAAATTTAATTCTAAAGGGATACAACCAATGAAACATCATAGTTTGAAAAAGATTCATACTTTTAATTGTTGAAATAATTACCAGGTATATTAGTGACTGATTATGGAAATTAGTTTTTCCTGAACTACCCAGATACTATACACGAGAGGACGCGGAGAATGCTATGAGGTACATCAACGGAACGGGACTGAATGATCGGATCATTCGAACGGACTGGGACCACGGCTTTAAGGAGGGATGGCAATACGGGAGTGGGAAAAGTGGGGGACAGGTAAATATTTTAAATGTATCGGAACCCATGATTGTGTTTGTTACATTCATAATGATAATACATTTCTATTTCTATCAGTTGCAGGCCATTAAGTTTAACTTCGATAAATCTGTCTCAAACGGACGAATTATCTGGTATTAAAGCATTATAAGTCAAATGACAGAACTTGTCCATCTTCCTATCAAATTTGAATAAAAAATAAATCATTCTTATAGTAAAGTTATGCCAGTCAAAATGGCTAGTAACTGAAGTTATTATTTTCCTTGAAAGTAAATTGTTTTTATATTTATTATACCTTATGTTTTTTTTTTTTCTAAATTTCAGGTCCGAGATGAATACAGAACAGATTATGACGAAGGAAGGGGAGGATATGGAAAAATAGTGGTTTCAAAGATCAACCAATCACGTGACCCCATGTGATAATGTGATCCCAACCTGTGAGGCAGTGTTTATATGTGTTTATCAGACTGTTATGTAAGGTCAAGGCTGCAAGAAATGGTCCCCTTCCCGATTAGGGAAAGAATCCTTGTAAAAACTGCTAGTCCTACTTTCAAACAATAACTTCATGTTATGTATGATCTGTGCTCTAGGTGGATTATTTATACTTTGTATTGATATATTTAAGCAATTAAGATTGCAGTTAATAATCCACCATCATTTTTACCAATTTTTCATTTTGCAAAGAAATGACTTCATATGGCATGATGTACACATCTGTTGAGGAATAAGTAATGATCATGATACGTTGCTTTTTTTTCGTTTGTTATTTTGGTATAAAGTAATAATACTTTCAGAGTCAGGTTTTTGTTTTTATTTAAACATGTTAAATACAATTTCCCTCCTGCATTATTTTATATGCATTAAGAAAATAATTGATAATATTTTATAAATTACAGTTAAACATGCTTAATGTATCATAAATTGCTAGGGAATTTTGTCTTAAACTCTTTAAATCTGTAAAATTGTGTATCTTTTTAGCTCACCTCAGCCGAAGGCTAAAGTGAACTTTTCTGATCACATTTTGTCCGGCGTCTGTCTGTCTAGCTGTCCATCTGTCTGTCTGTAAACTTTTCACATTTTCAACTTCTTTTCAAGAACCGCTGGGCCAATTTCAACCAAACTTGCCACAAAGTATCCTTGGGTGAAGGGGATTCAAGTTTGTTCAAATGAAGGGCCATGCCCTCATTCAAAAGGAGATAATTGGGAATTAATGAAAATTTGGTGGTATGTTTTAAAAATCTTCTTCTCAAGAACCACTGTGCCAGGAAGGATGAAACTTATGGGGGAACATCTTCAGGTAGTGTAGATTCAAGTTTGTTCAAATCATGACCCCTGGGGGTAGGTCGGGGCCACAGTAGCCAACCAAAGTTTTACAAAGAAATATAGGGAATTTCTTTAAAAATCTTCTTCTCAAGAATAGCCAAGCCATAATTGTTCATATTTATATGGAAGCATCCTCAGGTAGTGTAGATTCAACTTTGTTCAAAACATGAACCCATGGGGTAATGCGGCGCCACAATGGCTGACTAAATTTTTACATAGAAATATATAGGAAAATGCTTTAAAAATCTTTTTCTCAAGAATAGCAAAGCCATAATTGATCATATTTATATGGAAGCATCCTCAGGTAGTGTAGATTCAATTTGTTCAAATCATGACCCCCAGGGGTAGGGTCGGGCCACAATGGCCGACTAAATTTATAGGAAAATGCTTTAAAAATCTTTTTCTCAAGAATAGCAAAGCCATAATTGATCATATTTATATGGAAGCATTCTCAGGTAGTGCAGATTCAAATTTTTTCAAATCATGACCCCCGGGTTTAGGGCGGGGTCACAATGGCCGACCAAAGTTTTACATAGAAATATATAGGAAAATTCTTTTTAAATCTTCTCTAGAATAGACAAGCCATAATTGATCATATTTATATGGAAGCATCCTCAGGCAGTGTAGATTCAAGTTTGTTCAAATCATGACCCTCAGGGGTAGGGCGGGGCCACAATGGCAAACCAAAGTTTTACATAGGAATATATAGAAAAATTCTTTAAAAATCTTCTTCTCAAGAATAGCAAACCTATGATGGGTCATGGGACTTCTTTTGGATTTAAACTTTTCAATAACAAACCAATTTTTACTTTTTCCTAGCCACAGTGCTCAGGTGAGCGAAGTGGCCCTTGGGCCTCTTTTTTTATTTTTAAAATTAAAGAGTATAAATATCAATTTGATTTTAGGGTAAATTCCTTGCAGATCTGTGTTTCTGTAGCCATAGTTTACTTTATGTTTAAAGCTGAACACAACGCCATTTTCAATATTATCATCTACGATACATTAACGCTAAGGTATACTCTTGGCTCTCGTTACACCTGACTGCTTTATTGTCAGGGGTATCAGCATGGAATGGCAACCCGAGTTTGTGCTGGTTATCTTGCATTACCTTTGTTTACATTTTATTACACTTATGCATATGTTACAACGCGAAATGTAATAACAACGCGAAATGTAATAAACCTGAATTATTACATTTTGCGTTATTACATTTTGCGTCGAGATCAACGCAAAATGTAATAACGCAAAATGTAATAACACGATTTTTAGATTATTACATTTTGCGTTATTACATTTTGCGTCGAGATCAACGCAAAATGCAATAACGTCCTTTTTCGTTGTTACATTTTGCGTTATTTTATTTTTGCATTGAAGACAACGCAAAATGTAATAAACAATATGTAATAAAACAAAGCAATTTTTTTAACTGCGTTTAACAACAAAGATTATAGAATTGATCTAAATATATACATGTTACCAATATTGTTGTCAAACGAGGAGGGGTAGGGATAGGGTGGGGTGTTTACTTCGTATGTTTATTATTGCATTATTGTGGAATGCAGAAACAATCCATTTTTATTAAAGAACGGAAAAAAGAGAGAGATAGAATTTTGTGTTTGCTTTTCTGCAATGCAGTAGATTTGCTTAGAACAGTATGGTTGTGTTGGAAATCTTACAAGCCCGCAGTGTAATAATGTAAATGTGATGGGACTTTTTAACAATACTCAGAGACGTAAGCGTAGTCATGGACATCGTTCGTACAATAAACCTGCAATACACGACGTCTCTTTTGATTCATTACTACCTTATGTAAATCAACAGTTAGGTCTACATCATATTCGAACCAAACTTTACTCTGTCCCTTTGAAACTTTTAAATAGTCTTCTTGAAAAGACCATGAAACATCCAAATTTAGATTCCTCGACACCTGAATATAGGCTCGGTTCTGTGATTATGGATTTTGCACATCATAGGCTTTTAAAACCCGCACGTTTCACGGAAGAAAATGCAGCTAAAACAATCCGTCTTTTCCTTAAACTTGACGCGGTTAATATAAGTAATATTCTTAATCACAAAAGGGTCCAGTCTTGTATTCCACCATATTTCAAGTTAAAGACTACGCCTTATATTTCCTACAAATATACATCGACCATTGCTTCCAAACTTTTCAATTACAAAAACACTTTACATGGCCTGGATATCGACTATCTGAAAAATAATCCCCTTTCGTGTTCATGTTCTTCTTCGCCCTATAACTATAGTCCTGCTGGACACGTTATTACAGGTGACGTAAAAATAGTTCGTAATGAGGACCTTAGATCACTTATTTTAAAAGGTCCTAAATATAGGGAACCCCGATCCTTCAACTGGCGTCGGAATTTCATAAATATTATGGATTCTGTTGAAAATTATGCCAGACGATGGGCTAGATATGAAAAAGAAGACATTGACACCTTGTCAGAATGGATTAAATGTATCAGATCCATGTTAAAGTCGCGTATTAAAAGATTGAGGGGCAAAATGAAAACCATCTATCCTTCTGTGTTTAATAAACCTGAAGTGAAAAAAGAATTAGATAGATTACACGATCAGTACGTACTGGTTCCTGCCGACAAAGCAGGTAACAACATTGTCTTCGTTTGTAAGGCTCATTATATAAATTGCATTCTAGAAGAACTTGGATTTAATTCTACAAGTGGTAATCCTACTTATACATATTCTTCTCTTTCTAAGGAAGAAATTCTTCAAAATCACCAGTCAGTTTTGAATACTTTTAATATTCCACAGAGCCAAAATGAATTTGAACTACCTTATATATATTGGATTCCGAAACTTCATAAGAATCCTTACAAACATACTGGCAGGTTCCAGTAAATGTTCAGCCAAGCCTCTTTCGTTACTTCTCACTAAAATATTGACAGTAGTGAAGGAAAAACTTCAAGAGTACTGTACAACTATATATTCAAGAAGTGGTGTAAATCAGATGTGGATACTTAAAAATTCTAAAGAACTTTTGGACAATTTGAAATCACAAGACTTTACAAAAATCAACAGCATAAAAACTTACGACTTTTCAACTTTATACACAACAATTCCCCACGACAAATTAAAATCCAGGCTTTTTGATATCATTGACAGCTGCTTCTTCAACAAAAATGGAACTCGTAAGTTTACTTACCTCGTCATTGGTCATTTGAAAAATTATTTTGTTAAAACAGATTCTGATTGCACACATAAGAACTCTGAAGTTGACATCAAGAAGATGCTTGAGTTTCTGATTGACAATATCTATGTGGTTTTTGGAGACCAGGTATTCCAACAATCTATTGGAATTCCCATAGGTACCAATTGCGCTCCGTTATTAGCAGACTTATTTTTATATTCATATGAAGCAGAATTTATGCAAAATCTTTAGCGTGAAAAGAAGAAAACACTTGCTGTGGCCTTCAACTCGACATTTAGATATATCGACGACGTATTGTCAATTAAAAATGATAATTTCCATTCCTACGTCGACACGATATATCCTGGTGAGCTTGAGATAAAAGATACCACAGAGTCCGACACTTCTGCTTCATACTTGGATATTTTACTTGAAAAAGACACTCTTGGTAATCTAACAACCAAGCTATATGATAAACGTGATGACTTTAACTTTTCTATCGTCAACTTCCCTTACTTATGCAGCAATATACCTTCATCACCTGCATACGGAGTATTTATATCTCAGTTGATTCGATACGCAAGAGCATGCTCTACGTATGAACAATTTCTTAAACGAGGTAAATTATTGACAAGCAAGTTGATTAAACAAGAATATCAACAGTCTAGTTTAAAGTCATCATTTCGTAAATTCTATGGTCGATACAATGACCTTGTCAGCAAGTACAATTTATCATTGAATGAAATGCTGACTGACGTTTTTCATACCAATTGTTAGTCCATTAATTATACACTGAATTGACCACGGATTTTTTCCGTTATTTCCTGATTATGACAACGAGCACACGACGGGTGTGACCGGTCGGCAGGGGATGCTCACTCCTCCATGGCACCTGATCCCACCTCTGATGTTTCGGAGGTCCGTGTTTGCTCTGCTCTTATTTTGTATATTTGTTTAATGGACGTTGAGATTGAATACTGTTC